TTAGGCTATTTAGAGTGTAAATGTCTCAGAGGCAAATGATTTTTTTAATCATCTGGGTTGTCTCATCTCTTGACTACCCGAGGGCATACTATATCATACAACAAAGCAAAAAATATATATTTTTTTGTGCTTGCTCTTTAATATAACCATTTTTTAGTATGTATTGACCTTACTCACATCCTTGTGTTATTTTAAAAACTCTTCTTTATAAATATCCTGGTTGATAAACCACAAAATTGATAATAAAAACAAAGATATAATTATATATATATTTTATTGTTTTGTTTTGTTTTTATTATTAATATATATATATATATCTTTGTTTTTATTATTTTTATTATTAATTTATTATTAATTGTATTATACATACAGAGAGAGAGAGAGAGAGAGAGAGAAACAAGATAATATAAATATAACAACACATATATGCTTTATTTAATCAGTTCAACCTAAATTGCTCTTCTGATCTCTGTTGTGGAACCTTTAAATGTTCTTTTAGGTCAGTATTTTACTTTGATGATGGTCACGTCGAGTTTTACAGTGCCCTGTGTTGGTTTATTCGACTAAAAAACAGCATGGCAAAAATAATTTACACATTCCCGTTTTTAGAGTTTTTACTTACAACCTAGTGCAAAGAAGCATAATTTACTCACATTGTTTTTGAAGAACATCCTCACAGGAGGAGGGTTCCCCGATTGGAATGCCCTGAATTGGTGGGGCCTTTCCATGTGGAGAATCCATGCTGGTTTCCCCTCTGGGTCCCATGGCTTCCATCCACCTTCCAAAAAAAACGCATTTCAGATTAATTTAACACTCAAAATCGTCCTTAGGAGTCAGTGTGAGTGCACGTGGTTGTTTTGTCTGTGCGTAGCCGTGAACGGACCGGTCCGGGGTCATTTGAGGCCGGCTCCGGCCCCCCTCTCAACACCCCCGCTAGGAATAAGCCGCACGGATAATAGATGGACGTTTTCATAGAAAATGCTAAAGACAACCCAGTGGGACAGGAAGAGGTATTTGGTATTTGTGTAGCAGAAAATTGCTCCCTAAAGACAGAGAAAAAAGAATGGCAGCACAAACAAAAAGAGGTAAAAAAGTATCTGAAAAAGATGTTTGAATTGAAATTTGGAAAAACATTTTCGGATCAGTCTACCGTTGCTACCCTTCACTGGCCGCTCTTAAACAAGAGAATTGAGCGATAAAGGCTGAGCCGTACCAAATGACAAAAGAAGTGGACTGAAAATCAATTGATTATCAGGTCTGACGGACAGATGAATCCTCCCAGGAGCCCGATCTCGACACTATTGAAGGCACAGGCTGTGTCAGTGCTCAGACCAAACATTAACTTATGAGCTTGTACGATTAATTTATGATTCTGTTTTTATTATTCATTCTATATCGTTTTTTTGTGTTTGTACATCCACACATTGCACTTTATTTCTTGTTTTGTGATCTGTAAAGACATGTAGAGTGGCTTAAGGGGGGGGAGACGTACTTTACAATTAAAAAATAATAGCTTGTGATCATAATACAAAATTTGATGTATCTAATAGAGACTAAATCGGAGCAAAATGAGAATCAATAACGAGCCTGCGGTTTTAAGGCCGTGAATTGATGCATTCATTATCTCCCTGCACCTCTCATATTTTTAACGAGAAATAACCGCGAGGGATATTTATTGCGATGCAGACTGATAGCTGGAGAAGTCACGTAGAAGGAGGCCTGGCAAGAAAGAGGGAAAGCCCACCAAGAGCCCAGAGACGGCAGCACAGCTGCATTGCAGTGTGTCAATGCAGACATTAACCTCTGTGGAGTGTGTGCTGCTGCATTTTTAACCTCCCTTAACAGTCCCATACCTCAAAATATTCATCTTATCCCACTTTTTTTATTATTTATTATCATTTTTTCTCAAGAACATTCAAATTTTATGTAACTATATGTG